AGTGTTTGCCCTTTCACCTAGCAACAGGGGACAGGGAAAAAAAGTTATAAGTAAGAAAATGTGACTGTGAAACTACAGACATTCCCGGGGTCTTGGAAGCAGGTGGTTAACGCATTGTGTCCCTTAAAAGTGGATGCTCTGTCCTTGTGTTTTAAAATTTCTTTTAATCCTATAGTGACCTAATGTGCCATTAGGAAACACTTTTGCAGAGTGCTTTCCAATCTGTATCTGAGTGCTTCTATCACTTGAATTGAGCTATAGAAATGTATGTAGTAATAATGGTTACTGTCTAGACAGAGTACCCCTGCAATGGGCATTAAGGTTTTATTACACAAAATGGAGTTGGGGGGAGGTGGTCTTGCAACTTGTCGCTAAAGTGGGGAAAAAAAGCCACCTTTCCTATTGGCAGACTCACAAATGCAGTTAAGAGAATTTGAAGACTCAAGTCTTGTTTCCCTTGTGGTTTGAGTCCTGAAGAAGGTACTCAGCAACTTGTGGATTGTTTGGCTCCCTATGGGAGTAAACACACATGGTCAATGCTATTTTAGTGGTAAGACATCCTCAGATCCTATTAGTTAAATGAGGCAGCCCATGTGTGTTAGATAAAATATTCTGGGTTGGCCACTTTCTGTTCAGTGGAGTGGAATATTCCGGAACTGCAGTGTATTTGCTTCTGTTGGAAAACACTTACATTTGCAAGATTAATAAAACACATCTTTATTCCCTAGTGGAGAGGGGGTAAGGTAAGCTGGGAGTTTTAATACAGCACTTGGAAATGGTACAGTGCATAAATAGCCTTCAGTGGTTTGTGACCAATGAACGGTTCCTCTTCCTGTGCAGTATTTGAGCTTTGTGTAAGTCTGCTGAAGGCCTGTTGAAGTGGGGAGAATGCTGCAATACACTTGAGAATGGAATGTTTACTGCAGTGGGTTATTGCACATTCAGACTTAATCAGTAGACTAGGATTTGGGTCACTCTGGTGAGCGAATATTTGATTAACTTTTTTTTTTTTCTTTCTAAAACTTATTCCAAACAAAAATTGCGTTTGGGTCTACAGCATACCTGGTCAGGTTAGGGGCAGATGGGTAAAAGAGCTTCAAGGTCTTGGATTTACAGAGTTGTACCCTCTCAATATGAAATAAAAGTAATTGCTAGAGTTTAGCTGCAGCTGTGAGACCTAAATTAGAAAGGACGGATTTAACATGTAGTCGTCGTTTAAGTGTGCTAGACATGTTGCTGTGTTGCAGTGCCGTGATCATTTCTGTGACTAGAAGCACCTCTTGTCCTATAAACTCTATACTGTATGAAATTGGCTTTTGGTTTGGTGGCTATCTAGAGTCTTAGTTTTGGGCAGTGGCCATGATGAAGATGGTACAAATGTTAGTCTACATGAAAACTGGCCTCTTCTGTACTAGCATGAATGCGTCAACGATCAGAAGACTGTTAATATTTAAATATTAAACAGTAATAATCTCTTGCCTTTCTCAGATATTATAAAGCACCCTCATGTGCTGATTGGGCAATAGCAACTACAGGTGAGTGGCCCTTGGAAGTGCCCAAAGGAACAATGATTGCATTGTATAAGGCTTGAGAGAGGCTGGGAAGAGCCTCTTACAAACACACCACAAAGCACCGAAACATGGACAGAAATGACACTGGAAAGCAAACTTAAGAAGAAAACTAAGTTAATTTGTTATTCACACGTTTGCGGTTACTTCTCAAATAGAATGTGCCAAATGCTGTCTCCTCCTCTCTGGTCCACTTTGAAGATTTGCCAGCATGTGGTAACAGCTCTCTGGAGTGTTGAAGTGGTCTGTGTTGCAACTGGTGGGATGGATTTTAGTGCTTTATAATGACTGCTAAACCAGCATTAAACCAGGCTTTTAATACTTAGCATTCACATACCGCTGTACAGACAGTAAAAAATTAATTTGCCCCTTGGAGTTAAGATGGAGACACTAAGGCAGAGAGGATAAATGACTTCTTAAAGGCTACCCAGAGTATATTGGAGCTGGGTCTAAACTCGGGAGTGTCTGGCACCCAGTACAGTAGACCAAACAACGTTGGGCTCTTGCTGCCAGTGGTCTACATTTTCATTCCTTGGGAAGTTTGGAAATGCTAATGTTAGTCAAACAAATTGAAGATCTGATTTACTGTTCATACAGTATTAAGTGCAAAGTGTGTTTCACTGCATGAGCTGAATTACGGGGGGCATTTCAGCTCAAAGGGAAAGTTAAGACTAGTGGAATGTGTTGGGGAAGAGGGGTTGGAAGAGTTTCTCATCATTGCTATAAAGATGGAATACTGATCACACATAGTTCTTGAACACTGTCCTCTTTAACCGGGCAGAGGCTGTCTTGGGTCAGTGGCTGTATAATCTCATGCCACACAGAGGATTCGGGGTTAGAAACATCCAAGGGCTTTTTATGAGCCAGTGGATAGCCAGTGAAATGCTCAATGTTTTCCAGGAGTTCACCACCTATGACAATTTGTGGGAGAAGGGGGGCAATTTATGCTGGGGCAGGCTGGTGGAGCACCTTAGTCTTCCTGATGTTGAGGGAAAGTCCCAGACTATGATAGGTACCTGAGACAAGATCTAGGGTAGATTGCAAATCAGCCTCAGTGTGCATGAGGATAGCACGGTCGTCAGCATATTGAAGGTCCGTAATAACAGTCCTGGTGACCTTAGTTTTAGAATGAAGACTCCGCAGGCTGAAGAGCTGGCTGTCCATGCAATACTCAATCCCAATTCCAGAAGAAAGGTCACAAATAAGAATCGAGATCACGGCAAGATAGATGGAAAAAAGCTTTGGGGCGATAACACAACCCTGCTTAACGCCAGTCATGGTAAGAGGAGCTGCAGAGGACAGAGGAAACGCTACAAGGACACCCTGAAAGTATATCTTAAGAAGGGACGCATTGACCCCACGAATTGGGAAGAGCTGGCTGCCAATAGACTGCTATGGCATCGCATCATACATCAAGCCTCAGCCTGTTTTGAAGAGAATCGCCTTGCTCCAGAGGCCGAGAAACGGCAGAGGAGGAAGGAAAGGGTACAGCATGCTGGCCAGCAGTTGTGCTGTCTCCAAGCAACCACCTGCCATATATAAAAAAAAATATATATGGAAAAACCAGTAGAGCACTAATTGGACTCTTCAGTCATCTGAAGTCTCCTCAATGACTTTTTTCCCCTTGGCAGACATCATTCTTGTATGGAAGGATAGCTGTTGCTGACGGATAGCAAATTTAGAGTTTAAGTAGACAGTATGGTACAGGAAAGGGGCAGACAGGCACTGGTATTTCTCATTGATGCCTTCTGTTGGAAAGATCCACGGCTTGCCTTAGACACAGGCTCTGGAGGTAGTGAGAGTAACATGCAAACACTCAGGTATGTGCTTAGTTTTGCTTCCATTTGTAAAATTAAGCATATATAGGAGTGTTAGCAAAACTAGGGACAAAGTCTCTCTCTTCACTGCCAGGAAAGTTGTGTGTGTTTAGGGTGAGGTATCTTGCTGTAAAATCCTAATGGAGTCAAGGCATAGGTAGTCTTACCCTTCATGTAGCTAGGCAAAGTTACTATATCTCCCTGCCATAGTTGAGCTTGCCTGGCTACATCAAAGTAAAACCTACAGAGTCTTGTTTCTGCTAGTATTTCACAGTGAGATAGCTAATATGTGTTAGCGCTCTTGCTTTGAAAACACAGCTTTTTGGGCAGTGAAGATGATTGCCTTAGGAATAGTGGAGGGGAACTCAGGCAGATTTTTAAGAAATATTGCTAATTTATTCCAGGTTCTGTTACCCCCGCCCCCGAGGTTTTGTTTTGTTTTTTTCTTTGCCACAAAAAATACCACACTTCCAATGTGGTAAGCCTCTTATTCAAAACCTGCCCATGTGATGTGTGAGGCCACTTGCAGCACAGTTAAAAATACATGCTATATTGCGTGTGTGTTGGTGCAGAAGTGCTGCGGCAGAATTTTTCAGATGGCCCTTAAAATGTGCCAGTATACAGAACGTGGCCCCAAGGTTATCAGAACTGGCTAAAAGACAAGTGGCAACTGTATTTTAAGTGTTACTTCAGGAAGGAGAGAGGCAGAAGGGAGCCTTGTTTGAAAGGGTCCAGTTATTCGGTATGGTCATAGATACAAAGAAATAGAAGCACCTAAAATATAGGCCTGAGAGAAAGTCAGGGAATCTAGTTTTGATAACATTTTTGGTATCTGATAAATTCCTGCCCAAGTCTTTACAAAAGGCTGTAATAAGGTTGGAATGCTGCAAGGACTTAAGAATAGCAATACTACTCAAAGCTGTGGCTCCTGAAAGAACTTCTTACGTTACAGGCGATTGTTTCCTGTGGGCACCACAGGTGGGGAAATCTTGTCTGAAATAGTATTGGAGTCTAGAAATAAGCTGAGGAATGCCCGCTGCTTGCTAAGATTTGGAACACCATCAGTGGCCGTTGGAACTTCATTCCTTTCATGTTCTGTAGTGACTTGCCTCCTGCAATCCACAGACCCACAGATTTTATATCGAAACCCATGTTAAAGGAATCAGAATTTTTTGGGGCCTTTTTTTAGAGAGAATTTTAGTAGCTGTTAATGGTCGAATAAAGTCTCTTACATAGTGACTATGTTCTCTCCAGGCATGCCCTCAATTCCCAAAATAACGATTACATGGCTTGCATTAAGAGGGAAAAGGCACTAAAATGATATTTTCCCCCTTAAGTAGAAAACTGCACTGCAGTGATATTGAACATACTGCCTATGCATTATGTCTGAGTTGTACTGACTGTCAGATTCAAATAAGGACTGTTGCGCTGGTTTGTACAATGCTGAGGATGCTGTCAGCACTCAAGTAATGTATGCCCAGCAGTGCAATGTACTATACATCCCAAATGTGTCTTTTAGATTCCAGCCTATGATTTACCTTTTTAAAAAAAACTGAAGTCAGCACTATCCAATTTCCAATTTCCAGAATCCATAATTCTCTTGTTTCTCGTGCAGGGCTTGTTACCAGAATCTCAATGGCTTTCTTGAATAGGCGACTGGGCTTGCTGTTAACCCAAGTAAACAGAGCAGTCGAGCAGCGGCACTTCAGGTACTTTTCAAATACTGCGAGCCTGTTGTTGTTTTTTTTAAACTGAGTGTTTTTCGTATTTAAAGGGACATTGTTAAGTAGCTCAAATACAAAATATCATGATTCTAATTTCATACAACTAGTGTAAGAGAAAAAATGTCATTACAGTCCATGAAAAGCCATTCAAAAGATTGCCTAAGCAATCCAAACACAACAGTGTATGCTGGTGCCTGACAATCAAGACGTGATATTGGCTGTGGCCCTGATCCGGTGGGCAGATCTTGTGCCTGTGTGCTGAGTAGGTCTCAGAGTCTTCCTGTGCCCGTTTGATTGCAAGATCAGGGCTTGGGAGCAGAAGGTAAAGCTGCTTTGTTACTGTTGCCAGCTGAGTGAAATGCGGAAAAGGTAACAAAATGCCCCATGTGGTGAAAAGTCAGTTACATGCTTAGAATTCTTCTAGTGTTAATTGTCTGGTATTTAGACCAAAAATAATTTAAAAAATTCTTTTGTTGTATCTTGACAGTGTCCCTTACGTTGTTTTCTTTTCATTTAAAGTGCCTGTCCCTGCCTCTAGGTATTTATTCATTAACTTCAGATACTGCAATGCATTGACTAGCCTTTAAGACCTTGATCCTGCAATATGCTCTGTGTGGGTATGTGGAGCCACCAACACAGGTCTCATTGCAGGATTGATTAGAGTCTTAGTTTGCAGGGGGGATTAGTGTTTTAAATTGACTCACTTATTAGTCAATTCAGGTCACACCCATCACTGTAGTATCTGGGCTCAGTATCTGAGGCAAATAAGGACAATTTCCATATAAAAGGAGCTTAGTACCTCACCTCTTTAGTACCATGGGCTACATTTATATGGACATCCGGAATGAGGACCACAGACTATCACTTACACTAGGGTAAATGTGGTCAGAATTTGTCCCCGAGACTTTTAAAAGGATAGTGGCAAAGAAGGTGTTGATGGTAGATAACTGGGAAACTGAGAGGCTCTGGAGCCTTGTGGTGCTAACAATATGAGGCTGTACCCATTATATGGGGACTATCTTCTTGTTCGGTGTTTGTGCAGCACCGGGGCATAAACCCCTGTCTCGTGGCACTCTTTAAAATGCCCATTTCGCAAATGTGTGCTGCACTTGATGAGCCAGAAAGTTTGTGTGCCACTCTTTGTGGGAGCCTGGAGGGGGGCACAGTTGTGTGCACGTACTCCCCATCTTCAAGAGGGAACGAGGGATCTAGATGTTGTGATTTAGTTACTGTATAGTTTATGCTCTATAAAACTAGAAAGAACCTGAGTGGATAGGCTGGCCTTTCATCCTGAAGTGGTCATTGTGTAATTTGAGTGGTCATTGTGTAATTCAGAAACAAACTTCTGGGTTGATGTCTACCAGCAATCAGATCAGTATGGGCCTAAGGGGCCTGGTCAAGGGGATTTGAACAGGGCCTTTGTTTGTAGTGGTGAGAGACTTTCCTAGACTTTGGCCAGGTGTCTTCTTTGAATGGGGCCAATAAACCACTTCGAATTTGATATTTTAAAAACTAATTAAAAAAAAAGAACAAATGTATTTTAAAGTGAGGTTCTACTCTGAAAAGTGAACATGTAAAAATGACCCCTTACTGTACAGATCCGCCCTGCCCTCCCCGAGTGTATTCAGAATCAGATCTGCTGATTTAACAAACACGTTTGTACTTCTTTTTATTCTTGTTAGTCCCGTGGAGCCAATATAGCTAAGAGACTCCAGCTCACGCTCTGTTCCTTCTTTGAATCATGAAGAGAATTTTCTACTAAGTGACACCTGTGCACATTCGCGGAAGGCAGTGGGACTTCCCAGGTGTCACTGAAGGGAGAATTTATTCTGCAGAACCTTTATTACTAATGAGAACATGCAAGAAACAAAGAGCCCAGCTTGATTCTCAGATCCCTGGTGCTGTTTGTGGCACTGACAAAAAACCCCAAATCCTTTCACTTGTAAACTGAACACGTTGCATCTGGAGGTTCTAAAGGGTGCGATAAACAGTATGCTCTACAAGGTCATGTTTTAAAGGCACATTTCAGAGTAGAGTGGCCCTTTTGACTCCCTGTTAGCATGAATAATTTGTTTACATTTAGCAAATTGTATGTGAAGCCCAAAGTAGCACCTGACTTTCAAAGAACACTTTGCACGCAGTAGATGTGTCACCAGTATGGTATGTATTTCTCACTGACTCCTTATCGCTGGCTCATGTAACAGCTTGATTCTGTGCTGGGCTTTGCCCTTGATGCCCAAGGATTGTTTGAGAAGCTCTGTCTAGAATTCTTACTTCTCTTTTGCCAGCATCACTGGAGCATGCAGTGCGATACAGAAACTGACCCGCGTGCGAGTGGTGGACAACAGTGCCTTGGGGAACACGCCGTACCATCGGCCGCCCAAATGCATCCATGTGTATAACAAGACTGGAGTTGGTAAAGTGGGGGATAAAATTCTCCTGGCTATCAAAGGAGAAAAGAAAAAGGCTTTAATTGTAGGTCACAGGATGCCTGGCCCTCGCATGACACCTAGATTTGATTCCAACAATGTGGTGCTCATCGAAGACAATGGAAACCCAACCGGGACTAGAATAAAAACCCCAATACCCTTGATCCTGCGGAAGCGCGAAGGAGAGTTCTCTAAAGTGTTGGCCATTGCCCAGCACTTAGTGTGAAGACTATGAAAGGTCTCAGGCTGTCCTGCTGCATGATCTTTGAAAGAGTAAGTGTTCCATATGGTTCCACTTAACCTAGAAGAGGATCCAAGGAGAACTGAGGTTCATCAGGAGACTTGTCTTCTACTTGTGAATTAAGATCTACAGCCGAATAAAAGATTTTTAAGGCACTTGAGTGTTTTTTTTTTTAGATTGATATTCTAACTGCATCACATCTTTTAGATAGTTTTGCCAAAGCAAACTATTTTAGATGAACCCTTCCCTGCCTGTGGTGTTAACCTGACCCAAGATCATTAACACGTAATATGTTAAAACTCTAACTTGCTTTTGCCTATTTATGCTGTTTTTTTTACTCTTTTGCATTTTTCAGTTCTGGCAACTTACGTGTTGAGAATGTGTTTTCTGATGTGTAACACACACATAAGTGCAGTTCCTGCCCCCAAGATCTTGCAAGTCTAAATGACCCAGATAAGACACGGGGGGGAGACCCAGAGAAAAGTATCTGATTGAAATGAAATGTTGGAGTGCCACGGGCAGTTGAGTGATGGGCTAGTCTCTGTGGACCTTGCAGAAAAAAGCAGATCTTCAGGAGGGGTTGTAGTGAGGACAGCGTTAGGGGACTGCTCACATTGGTAGTGAAGAGTTGCTCCATGTTTGTGGGCACCCCAGAATAAGGTGAAGAGGTGAGAACTGGAGAGGAAACAAATGGGGGCATGAGGCAAAGTGATAAGATCTGAGATGCAAGCCAGGACTCAGGTGAGTAGGATCTTGTAGGGAAGGACAAGAAATGTATGTGTGAGCCAGAGGAAGGCTTTGGAAATAACTAGTCAGCTTTATTTTCTGGTTCTCTTCACTAGCTCTTGGGTTCAAGTTGCAAACACTGCTGGGGAAGGCTTATATTCAGTCTGTTTCTTGAGTGTGTTTCAGCCTAATATTTTTCATTTTTTTTTAAAAACTTAACCTAAAGGTTGGGTTTAAACTAGACCCAGTCTCTCTCAGAAAACTTCCCTTTAAATCCTTTCAAGTTCCTTTTTGCACCTCCACACTTTCTGCTTTCCAGGTCCTCAGCCTTGTGGCGAACAGAAGAGAAGACTGTAGCTCTAGCTTAAACTGAGGGCAGTTTCTCCAGCTCATTTGATAGCAATCTCCTTCCAAACAAACCCCTCCCTGCTTTGAGGGGACATTTATGTCATTCTTCTATGTAAGACCTGTTGTGTCTTTGATAGAGGGAAGGGCCTCTTTTCTAACTCTAAGGACAGTTAAGCTCTGGAGTAGGATTCCACCAGAGGTTGTGGAATCCATGTTGTTGGAGGTTTTTAAGACCAGGTTGGACAACCACCTATCAGTGATGGTCTAGTTATACTTGGTCCTCCTCAGTGCAGAGGGCTGGACTAGATGACCTCTCAAGGTCCCTTCCAGTTCTACATTTTTGTGATTCTATGGTCAATAGGAACTCCACTTCTGATTGTTTACTGTGATAAATGCAGCTAGATTAGATGCCTGAACCTGCGTTTGCTATCGTTCCACCATAATGTAGGGAGTTGCAAACATGTAGGCATTGAATAAAGTCCTTTTTGGTTGAGGGTGGGCCCAGAACTACATGGGATACTTTTAGGGAGTCTCAGCTGCTGTGAATGTTATTCTAAAAGCAGCATTGAAATGTTCCAAAGAGAGGCATAGGCATCTGCTACCATGGGAAGCAAACACCTGTCCTATGATGTTGCATCAAGGCTTAGGAAGTGCGGGCTAAGGACTGGGGGAGATTGCATAAAGCTGATGCAATACAGTTAGGGCTCTGGTTTGAAAAAGAGGTGGCTACATGAAAATCCCATGAGTTAAGTTAAATCACATCTGTAACCCTTTTAAAATGCTCCACCTAGAGGAGTAGCAGTGGGTGTTTAATTGTTATAACAATACTACTGATCCATTTTAGCCATGGGCAGAGGAAATGACCCTATTGGTTCCTAAAAAGAATCACAAGATTCTACTTAAAGGGAGTGAAGACTGAAGCATTCACTATTTCTGCACTCCTGGTGCCCTCTAGTGGCTCCCTACCACCTGAATGAGTCTTGCAGCTGGGGTTTTATAATGCTGAAAGCCATCTTCTTTCATCTGAATTACCTATTTATAAACCATATGTGGAGGCAGTCCAGACATTCAGCATTGCTTCTCTTGTTGGGGTGGGGCAAGCTTTGCCATCTTTAGCAGTTACTTGCTGTGCTTGTTGCAGGTTTGTTCATGCTGTCAACTGAAGTTAAATATGCTAAAGTTGGAGAGGGAAAAGTAACCCAAAATTACTGAATTCCACTGGCCCAAACCAAAAGGCAGGTCCAGCTGCCCAGTAGTAGTAAAAACCAAAGGCACCTAGAAGGTGCATTTGCTTAAAGTACTAGCTTTTCATCATAGGTGATTATGAGCTGAAGCTTGCATGTGTGTCTCTATCCCAATCCTATTTTACTGCATCCGTGCATTGCAAAGTCTTGTTTTACTACTAAGCATTTGATGCTTTGTATGAAGGCCATTCTTGAAAAATAAACTTGAACAATGATCTGCTGCTTGTTTAACCCAGATTCCATTCCCTGAAATTAAATGTTACTCAACTCAAAGCGAGCCATGAACTAAAATGCATTGTTCAGCGTGTAACTTGTGTGGTGGTGGTCACTGATTTACAGAAGTAACTTTAAAGGATTACTGTCAAATGGTTCTAAGACAAACTTTTTCCTGTTTTAAAGTTGTTTAGAATCCCAGGAGAGCCTTACACAGATCATAAATATGTTAGAATCTGCTGTGATTGAGCATACTTACGTTGAGGAACTTTGAGGAAAGATCTACCTGGAAAAATAGAATTCTTGGTTTGTGAAGGATTTCAGTGCTGAGGGGTTGAATGTTTATCAGAGGAACCTTGCTAATCCACCTGGTTCAGGGAGCGTCAGGGTTGCAGGGCTGAATCCCTGCTCCTGTACACCTTCTGCTACTGCAGTTACAGTTAAAATGACCTGAGTTAAACCAACCAAGGTTTAGAAAAATCAGCACACCATGGTATAGTTTGCTACTCGATCATTAAAGTTAAAGTGCTTTCGAGTACAGCTGTCTGAGTGCTCATCATAACCGTGTGCTACTGACTAAAACCTTTCAAGTAAAAGCTCACCGAATGAGTATATGTATTGCTAAATATTCCGCCATGCTACCTTTAGGAAACCTTCCTCTGACCTCAACAGCCACCCTCATCTCCAGGAAGCTGTATTTCCTATCAAGTCCCATCAGCTCAGTTGTCCTATCCATCCTTCCTGAAGACGTGGAGAAGTCAGACTTCCTCCTAATGTAAATACTGTTTGAAAGGGAGACTGAAGTAGGGGGAAATGAGGCATGTGCATTGGAAAATTGCTTTCAGTGGGTCCAGAACTTGCAAGGGTGAAAATACATTTCCAAAGTGTGTCCCTTGCCACTGCTTTAGGCTTCTGCAAGGAGTCCATCCTTACCATCATGATTATGAGTATAAGATCCACTATGGGCAGGAACTTGGGACAGCCAAGTTCTTATTACTTTGTAAATCATTTAAACATCCATTTTATTATATGTGTTTCTTGCATAAGCAACCACTCAGGTCTTGCAATCATCTTAGAAAGGGTTGGAGTCTCTAACAGTTTGCAAACATCCTCCAGTTTTTAACCTTTGAACATCAGGCTTATGCATTTCTTTTGGGATAAGTGGACCCTGCTGTTAGGATATTAAATATTTCACAGGGGAGTCTCAAAACTCTCCAGCGTTTTGCCGTGGGGAGGGGGAAGTGGACAAGACAATGGCATGTATTTAGGATTAAACAGTGAAGAGACATTTTTATTTGCAAGCAAATAAATACGTGGAACTAAATCCTTAACTGATGAGATTAGTAAACAGACATGCCAGACAACTAAGCTAATATCCTGTATAGAACCTACTGCCGTTTTTTACCAAGCTTGTCCCAGCAAGGAATGAGTTGCCAGAGAGTGGCCCACCAGAAATAAATGTGGCCCTGGTGTTATGCGCTCTGGCTCCAGTCCCTTTGCTTGTATGATTTCTTGCCAGGTAACAGTTCTTGCCTCTGGGCTGGTACAGGGGGAAAAAGAACTGTGTGGCTTGCAGAGAAGATATCAAATAATTTCTTTGTGTCCTACAAAATTCTCTTCTGCTCATGGCTGGGAGAGGCACATGTCACAACAAGCCCAATGCTAGTGTAAATTATAGGATCGCCAATGACTGTGGGTTGGGATAGCTATAGAATTAATGTATTGAGGTAGACAGGCTGCTTCCCCCTGTTTTCTGCCGGCTCCTCCCTTGATCAGTCCAAAATTTCTATCTCCTTTGTTGCTGGTTTTCGTTCACGGCAATATGGGCTTCTTGTTTTACATTTTCTTCCTCCATCTTCACTTTTTCTTCCAACGTTCTTCTCTTGCCTCCTATGCTCTCTCTACGCGTGTTTGCCTCTGCTATGTGCAGGGGAGCCTAGTGGGAGTCCTTCAGATGGAGACAGAGACTACCAACAATTTAGTAGATAACCACAGTGGGGAACTCAAGGCCTTGTGTCTAGTTCAGGGCTGCCTGTTAACTTTGCAACAAGCATCCTCCACTAGTTATACTTCGGGGGAAAACTCACCTCTTTGGGACATGCCTTTTTTAGTGTCCTATCTCAAGCAGCTGCCCAGGAGGAAATGCAACCACTGGCCCCAGAGGCGGAGACAGAACTGTCCAAACTAGAGTTCTCCTACTGTGCATCTGCACTGCTCATGGCTTAGTCCTGCCTCCTCCCCTACAACCAGTCTCTCAAATCCTTTCCCTGCTAAGGTGCCTGTCATCTGATGGAACGATGGATCAGAAAAATACAGCTCTGTCTCTTTCCTCCATCCCCTGTTCATGTTCATACCTAAGTAGCCAAGTGATGTACATACTAACAGAAAATCTGCCCAGTCCTGTGAAGCTGGCTTGGAGCCTGATTTTCCCGAAGGCATTCTCCGCATTGTGTCTCCCAAGCAGCCACTCCTGGAGCCCTGCCACTGAGCCCCTGTGCAAAGGGAGGGGGGGCGGAGTTACAAGAAGACCAAACAGTGCCCCAGTCCTAGTGACTAGTAATAGATGTTCTTTTTGCACCCCAAGCCATGGTTGTGGGGCGTGCTGCCTCTGAGGCGCTCTGAAG